ATACAACAGGTACATCCATGATGTCAGCAAATGTCAATTCGCCACACATTAACAACAGTAATTAAACAGTAATTAAATGCATCCATATGTATGCATAAATATGGTCGATGCTTTAATGATATTTGTTAGGATATGTAAAAATCATTATTTATATTTGATTAATTAATTTAATTGATAAATAAACATTATGGAGCAATAACTATATATAAATCTTTTCTTTTTAATACATTTGCAGTATAAATATACTTTTTATTTATTAGTATATTTATACTTTATTTCCCACATAAATTTTTTCATCTTCATAAATATTTTAAAAGTCCAAGAGTTAAAAAAAAATCGCTAACACCGCTCGAACCTATCTACAACACCATTTCGAGAATGATATCAAATGGTCACACAAGAACATTGCAAACATARTGGCAATCAATTTGACAGATTGTTAGCAGTGTACATTGCCTGGGGAGCTGCGGCGTAATAGCGCAGCACGGTAGTCAAATTAGCTTGCCATGTTATAATAATACCCAACGATTACCCTCCTCCCGCCCAACCGACCCGAGGGGCGCAATCCGCGAACGAGCGGAAATAGCCGAGTCATAAAAGGCAAGAGAGGTTTAGGCGTTGCGATCTTAAGCTGCTCAGCTACGAAAAAAAAAAACTCAACAGCCAAAATTAAGAATTAAAATTAAAGTTTATAAATTTTAAATGTTACATGCTAAGAGTAGATAAAATAATTTTTTAATGGTAAAGAGTGAGTCTGTTAGATCAAATGTGCTGGAATGAGAATTGAAATCATGACATACGSGGTGGAATGGTTCGTTTAGCTCAAAATTTGTTCTAGGAAATTTTAAAAGTAAGGGTCTAAAGTGCCTTATAGAGCGAGCGGGAACGTCAAAATTAATATCAGATAAAAGAGATGGGCTATAGACTGRCCCATTCATGAGTTTTACAAGAAATATTATACCAAGCATCTCCCTACGACTAGCGAGTGTCGGGAGATTTATAAGTTTTAAACGATTAGTGTAAGGGGGAAGATTTAAACTTGGATCCTAATGGAAATGATTTAATGCAAAAAGTAAAAATTGTTTTTGAACGGACTCTAACTCCGAATGGACTTGGTAAATAGATTTCCAAACCACAGATGTATACTCTAACATAGGCCTCACCAGAGATGTAAAAATAATTTTCGTGATAAGCGGATCTCTAATTCTCTTTGCTCCAACCTAAAGTTTTGTATTGCGTATCAAATAGGGTCTACAGATCTACGTGAAAAACACATCGCTTTCCATTTTTTAAGATTCAATGGCATGCCATTTCTATCACACCAAGAAAATAGGTTATTTAAGTCTGTTTGCAAGTGACATCTTTCACTATTTGAGGTGAATGATTTAAAAAGTTTTACATCGTCAGCATATAACAAAACGTTTGAAARCTTAACAACAGATGATATGTCATTAATAAATAACAAGAACCGAATTGGACCAAGATGGCTACCTTGAGGAAGGCCTGAAGCAACATTGATTATGTCAGAAAAAGTATCGTTAAATATGACTTGTTGAATTCTATTACTAAGATAAGAAGCCACCTATTTTAGAAATATTGGTTGAAAACCAAGAAGATCAAGTTTATTCAAAGGAATTGAATGGGATACTTTATAATTGCTTCAAAAAGTTTAGGTGATGGAGACAACTTTGCTATTCCCCTATAATTTTAATAGATGACCAAAACCCACTCTTATGTAAAGGAATTATAAATGACTTTTTCCATATAGATGGAAATAAGCCTTGCATAAGAGATGAATTAAATAGTTTTGTTAGGGGTTTGTATATACATTTGGCACATTTCTTAAGAAAGCATGAGGGAATCATATCTGGGCCATAATTGTATGATTGTTCTAACATAGAACAACTTCGGATTACCTATAATATTATTTTATACTTTATTTATGTATTTAGTATAACATATTTTGTTAAGTTCGGCAAATTGTCGACGCAACTTGGAATATTTTGAATAGTTAACAACTAAACCAGTTTTTTTTTTAAGTTTAAAAGCACGAGACTTTCTATTTTCTAATTTACATAATTCTTTCGAAAACCATAAATTAGAACTCATTTTTTGAGTAACAACACACTTCGGAACATATTTTTCAAATAAGTTTAAAATAGTTTCATTAAAGTGGGAAGCACTAAATTCAATATTGCCACTATAATCTGGCCAAGTTACGTTAGAAAGTTCGTAATTAATCTTCTTAAAATTAGCTTTTGCAAAGTTGAACCAAAAACAAAGGTCTTGTGTATTATTTTAGCAAAGTTAGCTATGATTTCGATGTAAATTTTTAAAGCAGGATGATACGGGTCCTCTGACCGAACCAAAGGTTCACATCGGACAACGGAGAATATTGAAGCGTTATCAACATAAACTAGATCTAAGAACTTACCAAACTCGTTTGAAATTAAATTAATTTGGGTAAGGCCCAACCCCAACATTTCATCTAAGAACTCGTTAAAACATAAGCGAGTACTAATAGGAGTGGTATGATCATCTATAGTTTTCCATGATACGCACGGTAAATTGAAATCCCTCAAAACAATCATGGAATCAGTATTGTTAGCCCTTGAGAAAACATTACTTATTAATGAAGCATGCTGCATATAAACAGATATATCCGAGTGAGGCGGTATATAAGATAAAATTAAGTAGATATGGCCACTATTAGCGCAAATACGAATGCACTTAAATTCTATGCAGTTTGGATGCGGAACATCGACTTCTTCAGATGGAATTGAAAAATGAACAGCAAACAAGACACCACCTCCTTTTCTGTTCAGCCGGTCATATCTATAGATTTCGAATTCACTCTTGAGTATTTCATTCTCAAGGATATGAGGCTTTAGCCAAGTCTCTGTAAAAGCAATGATTTCAAAGTTACAATGAATGCTGTTTAAATACAAATCAGAAAGTTTTGTATTAAGACCTCTAACATTTTGATAATAAATAGTCCGCGAATTGTTGTTAATTAGTTTTTTGTATTCACGGAATTTCTTGGCATTTTAGTGATAACTACAGGGGGCTTATCACGTTTGTGCTCGAATTCGCGTACAAAGACCCCAGATGGCCAGATTTTGTTCATGTTCTCAAAATCTTTTCCAGGCTTCTTTATATATATATTTTCTCAAAATGTTGCCTACTAATAAAACAAAAAGTGCAGCATTTTCTGCTCTTATCAAAACGTAACACTATGTTCGGACGGAAAATTGTGGAATCTAAGTCGTTGGGACCGACAATGTGTGTTTTCGAAGAGTTATCGCTGACAACTATCAATAGGGGGATTCTCGTGCTCTTTTAAGATTGCACGTTGACACAAAATGTTTTTTTTTTAGTTTTCCTACTAATTAGTATGAATCCTTCACTTTTCTATTGAGATAGAGGTTTTGAAAGGTTCGTTAGTCTTTCTTTGTTCTCTTATCATGTAAATAGTGAAACAGTTTTACAAGGTTTAAGTTATCCTTATTTATATATTATAATGCTGCCATATAATTAAGTCGTTTCGTTCCGTTCCATTGCTATCAATGTCATTTTATTGGTTTCAAAAGCTGCTTTCAATTGATCATTGTTGAAAGGGGTTGCATGAACATGCTAGAATGACAAAACAATCTGTTTTGTCTTTGCCGTTGAGGCAGAATTTTACATGTACATTTACTTGTTGTTGTTTTAACGGTTATCAGTTCCCATTAGGATGGTGAGGGTTATCAGTGTTGTCGTCGAYGTCATCTAACGGGAGGCCCAGGAAACGTGTTGTTTCGACGGGGTCGGACCAAAGGGTGTTAGATGGATGGGATTGGTTGGGCATACAAAGAGGTGGTCAGTGTCATGCGGAGACTCGTTGCATGCAGGACATACATTAGGTATGTCAGGGTCTATTCTGGATAAGTAGGAGTTTAGAACGAAGTTGCGCAAGGGTCACTCGCGTTTGCTATGGGTGGTGGTTTGACTCCAAGTACGCCATTCACGGCAAGGGAGTCGGTGAGGGTGTTGATGACTCCACTGTGAATGGCGGTCAGTGCCTGTAGAGAAGTCTGTTGCGTCCGAGGTCCTGTCGGTGTGTTGTGGTGTGTACGACGTGGTCAAAGAATGACCTCTTGATGCTCCCAGGAGGCGGTTCCGCTCCAAATAGATAACTGCAACAAATAGATAACTGTTTTACGAAAACATCCAAGCAGGAACTGATCAGGAACTGCTTGGAGAAGAGTTCATTATGCTCCTTAACTGGGAGCATAAGCGTCTCACTATGTAGGTGTTCAATGGGAGACATCAAGAGGCCTCCCGTCGTGATCCGGAGTGCTGTATTCTGGCAGGTGTGGAGTTTCCTAATCTACGCGCCATTGTGCTGCATAGTTAAGGACCGGCCGGCCGATTGCCTTGTAAGTTGCCAACAACGTTTCTCTGTCTTTTCCCCATGTGCTGCCGGCTAGCGACTTGAGGATTTTGTTGCGGCTCTGTACTTTGGCTATAATCGCGGTCGTATGGGGATAGAAGGAGAATAGACTATCGAAGGTGACACCTAAAATCTTAGGGTTATTGATAGTCGGAATTTTGACGCCGTCGACTAAGTTCCATTCTATACTCCTTCGTCCACTTCGTGAATATGGTCGCTATGGATTTGATGTGGGAAAGTTGGAGGTTCCGTGCAGTGAGGAAACGAGAAAGG